AGGGGGGGGGGTTGGGAGGGAGAGAACGATACAGTTTCGCGTATATCATACGAAAAGAGACTCTTTCCTGAAACGACGACGACGTCTACTCTTCCGCGCCAGAAACTGCTTTTAAGACGGGACGAAGTTTTCTCCGCTGCTAGGCGGGCACTGACACAGTTCTATCGAATTACTTATCGAAGCCGCATAAGACTGCGCGACTCGAGCGTCGTTCATCACGAGACGAATGCGAGGAAAGTACGACGATCGGGTCCGCAGGCGACCGCCTTGCATATCAAGTTCGCGTGCCGCGTACCGTTCCTCGCTTATTATAACGGATATTAGCGACCGCAAAAGCTGCAGCGCGACGTCTCTCGTTCGCCTGGTCGTGTCGCGAAGTAATCGCGTCTTCATGCGAGCGATTCAAAACATTCGACCGACCGGATCCTGGTAATTCGAACGCCTCGATAATCGTCTGATCGATTTGTATTTTTTTTTTTTTTTGCAGTTCGCAGATTATTATAATAATCGCCTTCCGACGCGCGCTGCGTGAAGACGTCGATTATATTCTCTTGAAATTATCCATCATCGCCGCGAAAGGCAATAAACAACGTTTCCATCATCTGGGATCATTCAGATTACGATGGAGGAAATGTGAAAGAGAAACAAACTGCGCGGCGCAATGATTACAGACGATCGACGAGATCTGCAGAACTAGTGATGGGCGAATCCCACTCCTCAAGTTTTCAAACAATTTGATCGTATAAAGACTCGAATTGCTTGAAATATTATCGAGAAGCTCGGAAGTTCTGAAATTCTTGGGAGTCTCAAGTACCTGGGAAATCTTTTCCTGGAGAAGTGTTTGCATATCTAAAGCATTTGAAATACTTGCAAATAAAATTCGTACGTTTTATTGAATAAAAAATTATAATAATAACATGAAATTATGAACGGACAGATATATTTTTAAAGTGTTGAAAACTTTCGAGACTTTAAAAGTTTCGATTGCTGTATCAATTCGAGATTTGGTTATCGAAGAGTTTTCCTTCTAGAACTGTACTCCTGCATAATTACCGAAATTTAAGAGACATCTAAAATGTTTAATACACTTAAAAATAAATAAAATTATGTATAAAGGACTCTTGTTAATAAATAAATTAAAAAATGAATAATGGGCATAAGAGTCAAAAATGAAAACTAATCTTATATGTCAATTTAAAAAAAAATTTTTATTACGAAGATAAAATAGAAGATTGATGTTCTTAACAATATAATATGATATTGACATTAAAAATAAAATTATTCGTATCTGTCAAATACAAAATTTAATATAACGTAAAATTATAAAAGAAGTGATTATATTTTCAAAATCTTGAAGACTTTCGAGACTCCAAAAGTTTCGATTGCTGTATCAATTCGAGATTTGGTTATTTATCGAAGAGTTTTCCTTCTAA